AAACATTATTTTCCCCTTGTAAATACAAATTTTCAGATTATCTCTTTAAATACTTCAGCAGAAAGTGTTGAATTGTTATTAAAAAAATCTTAGATATTCGCGGGGCACTGAAAGAACCAAATATAAATTTTTGATTAAGTAGCACACATTATCGTATTTTCAGAATTATTTATTTTCCGGTAAAGTAGATTTTGGTAAATCCAATTCAATTGTTCTGGACAACCGTTGTTTCCAGACAGCCAACAGCCAAAATTAGCGAACGCTATAGACTAACGATAATGTTAACAGTATGATGTGATCTGGTGATGGTGAAGGTGAATGGATGATTACAAATACAATGCCCGAGGCGGGACTCGTACCGGCGATCCTTCAGTCCCAGATCGCTACGCACTAGATTATGCGAGGATTTGTGACGCACATTAAAGAAAGCCTAGTAAATAATATGCGCTACATAAGAAATATAGTAAACAATTTAACGCAATATTATTAGTATTAAAATAACCATTACTGTCCAGTTTAACGAACTTTCGTAAAACAGAAATTTTGAAACGTCCACACAATAAAACACAGGAATTACCCGATCATAAAGAGTAAGTACATTTCGAGGTCAATGAGTGTGTGTAATTTTTTTAAAAGCTTGGGGTATTGGTGCGAGTATTAAAATAAAACCGCGATTCTTGTATTTCTCAAACAATGTTAACTCTCGTTTTTCTCTTTCTCCTCTAGATATAAATCAAGTAACAGCGGTTGATATTTCCCATTTTACAACTTCATTATACGTGACACAAATGCAGAAATTACTTAACAAGATTTTCCTTTGTTCGCATCAATTCGCAAACAACAGAGAAGTGTGCGAAATCAGGAAGTGACAGCCGCGCGTATTGCTTCTCACCTCATTTAAAAAGTACTTGGTCGCGAATCTGTGATGAGGAAAGGCTGCTATCTGTCTCTACCGACTCCTGAGTACCCTAACAAAACAGCACGATCCTCCGGGAGAGGAAGTTTAACATACGGTACACTAGATACAATTTTATTAATTCGACCCACGCAAGCGGCCTATCAGAACAGACGATGACCCATTTGTGGAAACCTTCTTTATTTTAAAATCCTGGCGACGTTATCAGCGGCGGACTCAGCCGACGAGGATCATCTACAAGGTCACCTCTCCTCTCCTATTCAAAAGGTTTGCTTCCAATATAACACAAATGTGAAAGAGACAAAATCTTTATAACCTTATTATATAAACACAAACACTTTCTACTTTATCGTACAGCCGTGTAAGAATCGTATTGTAAAGTTCCACGAAAAAGTGTCAATTTTTTATACACAAAAGATAAATAAGCAACTTCACTAATCAATAATTATATTTACGTATATTTTTCACTCACTTTAGTAGTAAAATTAAAGAATCACTAGCGCTCCAATGTGAGAACTTTCGCAAGCGGACTCCCCTCTTTCCTCTCACATCCTATGAAGAGAATAAGTAATTCGTTGGTGGATCGTGTTTTATTACAATTCCAAATACTATACGTATCTGAATTCGAAATATTGTATCGCACGCCCGACCCTTACCGCGGAGTGCTATGCACCAAAAAACTAAGCCTCCAAATATCTCATTTTGTTGAGACCGGCTGAGGTGGCTCAGAGTATTAGCGAGTCATTTGAGTGCATTTGATCGGGAGGAGCTACGGTTCGAGTCCTAGCGGTGGCAGGATTTTCGACACTAGCTTCTTAGCTAGTCGGAGTTCAGCCGCTCTTTGTGGGAGAATTCTAGCGGTCGCCTGCTCTGATCGGTAGTTTTCCGTGGTTTCTCCGATCAATACCAAGTGAATGCCGGAGTAAAACCCAAACAGACGGGCCGCGGACCGCGCGGGATCTTTCTTTCCTCTTTTTTTTTTTTTTGTTATTGTTATTTAAGGTCGCATCAACTACTAGGTTATTAGCGACCGCTATTGCTTGTAACGGTATGGTAACTGTGGGTTGACACGATGATGATGATGATGATGATGATGATGATGATGATAGGGGGTGACACAATAGAGGACGAAACACAATACAACCATGCCCGAGGCGGGACTCGAACCCGCGATCCTTCGGTCCGAGTTCGCTACGGCACTACTGCCTTAGCGATCTCGGCCACCGGATCGGCTCCTCTTTCTTGTCCTATCCTCATTTCTTACTTATTATTTATTTATTTAATAGGTAATTATTACAAACAAATTAGATTACTTGATCCTATGTGGCTAGGCCGAAGGCCTTTAAGCCATTACAATACCTACATCCTTTCGCGTTCTAATCTTTCGAATTCTGGTATTCACCCCAAATGGTCTCTCCATCGCATCAAAGCCGCGGAAAAGAGACCACAAGGTACGGCTCAGGAAAAAACCCCTGAAGGGGAAAAAACCTGCCGTCAGAAGCCGAGTACATTCTAATCTATCCGACATTTATTTTAGCTATTTTATTTTCTGGCGCGGGCGTCCCCTTCCAGTGCTTGGCCTCCTCAGCACCTGAAATCAAACGGCGCTACAGAAGATCGTCCGCACCAACGCCTCTGCCCTTACATTTTCGATCCCCCCTTCCCTTCACCCCCTAATGTGCTTATTACTATGCCAGTTTTATTTTATTTATTGTATTGACCAGTTATTTACCAATTGACTACGACTTATGACTTATTTCTGTTTACTGACTGTTTACTAACTTAACATAAAATTACGTACTTATTGTTAGCTTATTGACTTATTTATTTCTCTCCAGTCTAGGCTCCGCTCAAGCTAACCGGTGCTGTTTTCCCACTCCCTAATTTCAGTTTCCCTAATGGTCCGGACCTTTCCTAAAAATGTTCCTAATTCTTTCATAAATTTAGATATTTTGTCACCTAAAATGTTTTGGGCGAGCGTTACGTTCCTGTTTAGGAAGTAGTAATTTCCCATTCCCATCCATTTTTTTCTCCATGTTTCGGTTGCACAGCAAATTAAGAGGATGTTCTTACTTACACACTATTACACTCCCTACACTTGCCGCGAGACCAGTCGGGAGCTTAGACCTTCTCGCGGCTGGACGGTGCCTCCCAGGTGGGGGGTACCTGGATAGGCGAAAACCTAACCTCGCTAACAAACGAAGTTCGGCGGCGGATATCACCATCCAGCTTACGGCACTAATGACCAATAGTAGTTGACGCTCACGGAAACACTAAATAATCACTCAATAATTTTGTAGATTAAAGCTTGAGGAACATAATTTGAGAATTTTGGCTTCCAAATGCGAAATTTAAGGCCTTGGAGGAGAACGTGTTTTCGGTTATGAACAAGATGGCAATGGCAAGAAGTTGTCCATATTAGGGCCGTCTGTTGGTGAATTGCATTTTCGACTGCCTAATTTATTCGTTTTTTATCAAATAGTAATAGCTATAAAGTGCAATTCATCATTTCTACCTTAATTTCTATTTTTTTTACATCACACTCGTATTTCTGAAGATAGGATGAATGCGAGAGCCGTAAAACATATTTACTACAGAAATAAAGGTGATTAAACACTATCTACATGTGCTGTGTTCGAGTCGTGTTTGAGTTGCTAGTTACAACTTTTGAAGGCAATTGTAATCTCAAATTTTCATTTGCATTTTTGGTTTAGTTTATAAATATATTAACATTATAAAAATGTTTCTTTGTATCGTCCCAGACAGAAAATCTTCACCCACTACTCTAACCTTTTGCCTATATCTTATCGCACTATGACGTAATGAGGAAACATTTACCTAAATCACGAAGCTTGCCTCCAGCTCAGTGTTGCAACCACTCTTCTTTTCTCCCATTATATCCACACTCTCGCCTGGGATTTTTGACTTGCATTACTCCCAACATAAAGGAAACATGGTCTGTGTGAAAAACAAAAGTTGATATCATCTCCTGATTACCCCGAAAATAGTCAGTTTAAAGTCAAGAATGTGTCATGAGTGGGACTAATAGTCGAATCGAAGGGCCAGGCCTTTTATTTAAAATATTATAGATTCTTCTTGTGCACTTCTGTACCCCGTCGTGGCAAGATTATGAAATTGGTTCACCTTGGAGCAGAACCTTGGAGCGAGGCCCTCACAGTAATAATGAATGAAAAAATCGAAAAAAAAATACTACAATTAACTAAAAATTAAAAACTTCAAACATACTCGATTATAAATCTACAATCAACATTATAATCAAAAGCGAATTCAACATTTTCAGTGAGATGATTCAATTTCATTATTCAAAATTTAAATCTGATTCATTACAAGAATATGCATTACGAATGTTCCCGAATTTGATTCCAGCATATCTTTTTAATGCCATACTCCAAATGGGAAAGTGACTACAAGCCGTCTGATGCAAAAAAAGGGATTTACCGGGCAGTATTGAAATTATGGGCGATGATTGTAGATGATTACATGGAATACGTGGTAGTTTGGGTTTGCCTTTCATGCAACGAACGCAAAGTTAAAACATATGAGTACAATTCTTCATCTGAACTTAGCTAAAAAGCTCGGTCGAAAACATTAGAGGAGAGTCATAACGGCCGGCTGTTCCGATTGGTTGTTTTTCGTTACTTCTTCGATCGATACCCGAGCTCGAGCAACATTTTTACAAAGGGACGTATCGCGCCAAAAAAAAGTCACCCACACACTTATCCCCAGTATCTTCTTGCAACCACACACTAACACTATTGCACTGCACTTCCACACATCTCTCTTGACAAGACAGAAGCTTAGACGCTTATCCTGGCTGGAGCCGTGACACTCAGGGAAGAGACGCCTGGAGGGGGGAAAACTGTAGGTCGGCGCCGGTTATCGCGTTTCAACGGAAGAGGAACACCGTTACATCCCAGAATATAACACGCACCACACTCATGGACCCAATGTCCATCGTAGTTGACGCGCCCGGGCTCACTAATTAAAGAGCAATTCATGAGAACCACACAATTCCGGCGCAGAGGGATGGCCGCCTCGTCTTCGGGAAAGGCGGCGTACGTACCTTGACGTCCCTAGCCGCAGGGCTGGAGGTAGCGGTGGCGTTGGCGGTGGAGGAAGCGGCGGCAGCCGCAGCAGCGGCGGCGGCTGCGGCAGCGGCGGCGGCGGCGGCT